AGATCCCCTGGAACTGATGATGGAGATACTAGGAATCGAACCCTTGAACCTCTTAAAGAATAGTCAGTTTTCTTAAACACTAACTGTCCCTGAACCCCATCCTTTTATTTGTTGTTGTTTTTTCTAATTCAGCAATTTGGATTGGTAATTGGAGACCATTCTATATCATTTTCTTCATGAAACAAATTCATAGCAGAAGTCCAAAAATGATAGTTCTCATTTCCAAAGAGATATTTTGTTAGTTGCTTTCTTTATTGGGTTATCTCCATCAATTGTTTTGATTGTTATACTACTACTTATTATATAACTTATAGAATATTTTACAAAAGATAAATATATTTTCAATATTTTATACATTGTGTTTTGATCATAAACACCCCATCCCTGAACTCTTTCCAGATTCACTCCTTACTTACTAACTCAAAGAGTACTTTGTGAAGCCAACATATTCTTGGATATGTGACCTTATGTTGGAGTATGGTAGACTTGTCAAAGTCTACACTCATATAAAAAAATGACTCTCCCTTTGCCAACAGTTAACTACTCCTAAGTAAGGGTTAGGACATAGTGCTTAATTACCCTCTTCATGCTGTAATTTGTGCATGCTGTCACAACCACTGTGAATTCATTTGTGCAGCTACCTTGCTATATCCAGAATCCACAGCATTTTGTAGACATCTACTGCTGGAACAGAGGTTAGCTTCACACCCAACTTTTACAAGCACTGCCAAACTAAACAAATACCTTTCAAGGTCTATCCATTGCTGTAAATGATACATTGACCTAAATGTAATTCCTGTGGATGGGAGGAGAGGATGAGGCATATATGTTCCACTTAATGAACATATATTTAAGGAGCTTCTTCAGTCTTAAATAAACATATTTTATAGCTTTAAGTTGATATCCTCAGTCAAGATACAATCACACATTCTCCTTCTGTGGAATCTAGATTTCTTCCAAGCTGGTGCTCTGTCTCAATCTTAAAACAAAGAAGCAGTCTATTGTGTGCATATTACAAAACTTCCAAACTGGCTGGAACAGAGGTTAGCTTCACACCCAACTTTTACAAGCACTGCCAAACTAAACAAATACCTTTCAAGGTCTAACCATTGCTGTAAATGATACATTGACCTAAATATAATGTTCTCTTAGGATAGGGTGTTTTCAATATTTGGGTAAGAAATTACATTTAGAGAAAGGGATTTTTCATTTTCAAAGAGTACTTTAGTGTACTGGTTATCTATTATACTGGTTTAGTGTACTCTTATATGTACTGGTTATCTATTATACTTCCGCACTTAGCATGGATTGATATGAACAGGTTGAAATCTTAAGTGATAGCAAGAAATGGCTTTAAGTTAGCATGGTTTGATCTACTAGAAATTGCTCTCTGAAAAAGAGAGTATTTAATTATAAATGAAGGAATCTGCCTCACAGCTTTATACTTAAAAACTTTATATGTTCAAAGCTCAAACACAGCTGCTAATAAACTATTTCTCACAGTGGGTCTCTGAGGGAGCTTAGTACTATCACCTCCTATTTTTATGAAGTACACACTTGACCCATAATAATTAGATAACACCATCTAGAACCTCATAGAGATGAAAAGATAGTTACAAGTTGTGATTCATACAAGCTAGTTTACAGAGGTAGTCTCTTAGATTTCTGCACAAATTGAGTTAGAATGTCCAAGAAATTTTACTCTCCTGATGATGTAGATAAACGTATCTCATGCACATACAGTTGTGTTTTATTTTGTTTGGACTATTTTTTCTGTGTCTATAATCAGTTGTCTAGATACAAGGAACATAACATACCATAAACAAATATAAAAAGAATTCTGTGCAGCTGAGTGACTCAAACTCCTTATTCTGATATTCGTTACCTTAAGTTGAATAAACAGAACTGTTTGCCGCTCTTTTTTCTCTTTTGATTTTTGTATCCTTTGGAAGTCTAGCATGATTGGCTCAGGCTAACTCATTGAATGATTTTAGACTGAGATCAGCTACCTTTGGCATTAATTTTTTTTGTATTTCACTAAAATACATTTAAATGTATTGTTATAAAATACTGCAATTATGTATGACATTGAATCTCATTGATTGGAGCTATACAATCTTCAATATTTTTACTTACGATGTTACAAATCACTTTTTCATGAGTAAAACAGCCTGCAACATATAATGTGAATATTGATTTCACATTTTTATCAGTTTTTTTTTTTTTTGAGTTTAGCAGTTTCAATCCAACTTGGCTGACTAATGTGAAGTGCTTTTGGTGTCAAAAATTTAATTCGTTTCCATGCAAAGCACTGAATTGCATAATACTTCTGTGTGTTAAGTGGATCTCAATCACAAGAATATCTACGTGTTTGTTACATTTGCCTATACATGTCTATCAACATCACTTTGTAAAAAAAATTATTCATAATAGTATCCAAATGTAACCTCATATGAGTTTGAAGTTATTTATTAAGTTGATAAATATAATTTAATTTTTACAAATATGGCTATGAGTAAAAATTCCATGTAAACTTATATATTTATTTTTGAAATGAGGTAAGCATATATTTGTAAATGAAACTGATTTATGTGTTATTTTACTAAAAATTTCTTGGTATTTTTAACATTTTTTAAGGATGGGCTATTCTCTGACCCACTAAACTGCCTTGTGAACTATTATTACATTGAAGTTATTTATACACAAAATCTTGTATCAAACATAGTAGCCAGATATGACCACTTTTTAAATTATATTTTCTTTCTGGAGATAAAAGATTTGGTTTCAGTGCTTCTGAAAACATGGTACATTACTCTAGGAATTAGAATACCTCAATGTGTCATCATTTTGCCATACAGTACCTACTTATAAAGATATAGTTCCAAAAAGTAATATTCAAAGATTGCATGTTATTATGAAAACTTCAATAAATTATGATATTAAATGTACTGTAAATATTTGTCTTTTGATTTTTTCATTATCATTGAAACTGCATTTTTAATACTATTTTGTGAAGTCCTCTTGTGTGATTCAGTTTTCCTGAAGCTTGTACAATATTTTATATTGCACGTGCCTAGTTTCCCTAGATTTTATGCATCATAAGAATTTGATGAACGAATTATAATTAAAGATTATTGGAAATGATGAACTCATACATTCCTATAGGATCCTGGTGATTTCTGTGATGTTCATCTCAAGTAATTAGGCCTGAATTGAGTGTCTGATCTTGAAGAATGGCCTTACAACAATGTCCTGATTACAAAGAGGGATACAAACATTGTTTTTCATGGTTTTTTACTTCCCCCAAGACACAATGTATAAAGCAGACAAAACTCTTTAGATGAACAAGTAAGGAAGCTTAGATGACTTGTGTTTTCAGATTAAACACTTACTCATCTCTTGTTCATTCTGTGCACAAGTACAGTCCTTGATCTTCCCAGGACTAACAGCAGGAACTTGTGTTAAGTCCAGAGATGTCGAGCAAATGATGTTGTGTGGCCTCTTATGTCTTTAGGTTCACTACAGACACTTGACTGCTGATAGTATCTCTGTGGTTGTATCTTTGAAGTTAAAAGTTGGTGGCCAATATTTTATTCAGATGCAGCTACACTGTATAAGTTATATTTCATATGCTGAGAGTCCAATATTGAAGTGATAGGACATACAGACAATAGTTTAAAACAGAAAAGTATGCTCGTATGAGAAGCAGACATAAGAGAACTAATTTATTCTCTCTTGTTTCTACACTTTAAAGTCAAGTTCAAGACCCTATAAGCCATAACTCCCACCCCAGCCACCTTCAGTCCACCATTACAGCAGATTTCAATTGTTACTCAGCACTGACACTAGACCCAGAATGTCTTGTTGTGAGGCCATAAGCATGGCAGGCATTCTATGCCATCTGCAAGCTACTCTTTGGTCTTCTTCAAGAAGGATCCTGCATAGTTTTAACGGAAACCATTTACATCCTGTGGGGTGAAGAAGGAGAAGAAGAAGCCAAAGTTAGAGGAATTTTTTTCCAGATTCCTCACACCCAACCTCAAGTTTGCATTTTGCATGTAATAGAAACGCATCATAAAAATTAATTTACTCAAATCTTACTAAACCAGCTGTGATCAATATGTAGAATATGATCTTAAAAGAACTTTCCTTAATATGAAATTTGTACAGCATGTGAGTTGCTTGGGAAATTATGGAGTAGTAAAATAGTATAAGAAGGTATTAGGTTAGATGATCTATATTGCTTTTTTAATTCCTTATGATTTTAAGTAAAGCATTTCCACAATTCATTTAAATTCTATAGCAATAATATTTAACCATAATTATGGCATAGTTAAAAACAATGGTCATAGTTATAGAATGTTGCCAATGTGGTCCCCCTGGGAAGAGGAAACCAGTTGAAATGTTGGCTACATTAGATTGATTTGTGAGGATTTCTGTGGGACATTTTCTTAAATGCTGCTTGAATAGGAGTGAGTGATGTCATGCCCAGACAGGTGGGCCTGGGTTGCATAAGAAAGGATGCCAAGCAAGGCAGAGGGAGCAAGCAAGCCAGTAAGCAATTTTGTTTTCCATGGTCTTTGCTTCACTTCCTGCTCCAGGTTCCTGCTTCCCTCATTAATGAACTGTAAGTGTACTAGGTAGTAAAACTATTCCTTCTCCAAGTAGATTTTTGTCAGTGTTTTACCCCCACCAACAGAGATCTAACTAGAGCAACAATTGTGAGTAGATTTCAACTAATATTTTTTCTATTACTATCAAGCATTGCCTAATGTATATAAATCAGTGTTGAAAATCTTTAAACGGGTTTTTGTTTAGACTTATTTTTTCTGGAGTACCTAAGATTTATATTGCACATGATGAAAAATTAGCAGAGAAACATATGCTTATTCTATTTTGCTTTGCTTTATTATTTCAGCCCAGACATGATTACCTTGAGTGATGGAACCCCCACCATTATGAAGGTAACACTAACTCCTTGTGGAATTTTTATGTTTTAGCATTAAAAAAAGGACGATTTTGGATCACTCCTGATCCTTATCACAAAGATGACAACATCCAGATTGGGCGTGAGGTGAAAATATCTTGCCAAGTAGAAGCTGTCCCTTCTGAGGAGTTAACATTTAGTTGGTTTAAAAATGGTCGCCCACTAAGAAGTTCTGAGCGGATGGTTATTACACAGACTGACCCGGATGTATCCCCCGGAACAACAAACTTGGATATCATTGATTTAAAATTCACAGACTTTGGAACTTACACATGCGTGGCCTCTCTGAAGGGAGGAGGAATATCTGATATCAGTATTGACGTTAATATTTCCAGCAGTACAGGTAAGAGGCTCGCTCATGGTACAAAACGCCTTTAAAATAATTTGAGTTTGGTGAAGTCAGAGAGGCAAGGAAGTCATTTTTTTCAATTAAATCTAAATTTTATGACCCTAAATATCTAGTAAATACCTAAGCCCAGACATTGCTGTTTTTATTTTTATTTAGAATTATATAAGGTTTTATAAAAATTGCATAGATAAAATAAATAGCAATGACAAAGTTAAGCTTTAATTAAAATTATGCTATCTTTTTTTATGTTACCCACAGTCCTTATTGCACTAAAAATAATTTTAATAAGTTAAACCAGTGACTAAAGCTGAGCTTTTTTCTAAATTTAAAATTCAACAAAATTATTTAGATCTAAGACATAAACCTTGAGGGGTAATTTCAGAGTTTTTAAATAACAAATAAAAATAAAAACAGGAATAATTCTTCTACTAGTGGGAACGTTTTGTTAAAGTTATTTTCCAGTGTGACTTCTTGGATAATTTCATGGTACTACAGCCTCACAATGAAAATTGTTAAATGCATTGAAGGGGAATTATTTTAAAGCTGAAAATGAGAATGTGCTATCCTTTTCTGTTGTTTAAAGTGTTACCTCTAGACCTGGAAAAGTCTAGTGTTTTTTGGTGAGGATATGGTAGGTAAACTCTCAGGGTATTTTAAAAACCTGTGTACTTTGCCAGTCTGTCACCAGACTGTTTTAACTGAAAGTTCTCCCATAGTGGTGGGTGAATACTATGAATTGAACTCAAAGAGCTTGGTTACAGGAGCAAAGCTCCATGTTTGCAGATGCTTAAGAGCCGGCTCTTTCTTTTCTTTCAGGCAACGTATTGACTCTTTTACATATTTGATCCACACACAACTCTGTGCCTTCTCTTGATTCCTAATTGAAGTTTATGGTGTGTTTATTTTACCACTTAAAGACCATATGAAAGGCTATGGTAGGCAACATAGTACTGAATGCCATCCATGTAAGAAGGTTTCACTGTAAGAGTAAGAAAAATTCCAGGGTCATTTGCCCTTATTTTTGAAGGGTAAACTCATAATTTTCTACCCATATATATTACCCTGCTTTCTTTGTTTGTTTCTCCTGTTTTGTTCACCTATTTCTTGTTTGGGACCTAATCAACTCACACACACACACACACACACACACACACACACACACACACACTACTTTTATTTAACAGATTCATTTGGAGGAAACATGGCTCATTGGTTGTTCAACTTAACCAAAATAGTTCATATAAAAAAAAAAAAAAAAGGAGTATTGTAAAATTAACACTAGATTGTGTTCTGATATTCACTTAAATATGGTGCCTGCATATGACTATTTGAAACTAGATTTTGTGAATGACAAAGTCACAATGCCCAACCTTAATTCATGAAATTGCCGGAGATTCTAAAAGGAAAGTTCAGGTTGGTCAGAATACGGATTTTTGTTCAATTACAGTATAATAGATATTAGAATAGTTGTAGTAAATCATCTTCACTATTTCTTTGATTTCTAAAGACCACAACACTAGAAATAAAAGCTGTATTAAGATTTCTAGAAACATGCACTATGCCTTCTCTTTCTTGCCACACACAGAGCTGATGCTTTCCAAGAGGAAACTGTGAAGACTACATTTCATCTGCGCTAGTTAATGCAGTCTTAGCATTAGGGAAAATACATGGCTCATAGTCAGAACTCAATAGATAGTTGTTTAGTACAACTATGATCTAATTGATGGATCTGACACTGTACAGTTATAGTCTTTTCTGAGTCTACTTCTGTAGTACAAGCACTGTTGGTCCCTCTTGCTCGTTCTCAATTTTTTACTGACATGACAGTAGATATGTGTATAATTTGATTTAATGTTTCAGTTTCAGGACAATATAGGACAGATGGATGTTGTAATTTGTCAAAATCTGTTGAGGTATTCATGTGGAAAAATCAAAGCATTAAGTCAAGTTCAGCTACTGTGGGTTTTATTTGAATACATAACTGTTATGTTCATGAGTATGGGCACTCAGGTAATTGTATTTTTGAGAGAAGAACCAGAGAAGTTAATCTTCAAAGTAACAAATTCCTTTCTATTTGTGTTGAATCTGGCTTGTTTGTCACATTATCTACTGAGCAATGACAAAACAGAGTCACCTGCACAGTTCTCATGGCTGAGATATGGGATACTAATCATACTATTTAAAAGATTAACTCTACATCATAGAATTATACACTCAAAATGGTACTTCAATATGAAAACAGATATGTTACAAATCAGTGTTTGACTAAGGAGGGTCCACAAGCTATACCATTAAAGAACGTCTCAGACTATTCCTACATAATAAAACCCCTGAGAACAGAGAGGAAATTTAGATGAATTGTTGAGTGAGTGAATCAAAGAAAATGGAGCAATTGTTAATAAATAAGAATAAATAACTGGAAATGAGATTCCATTATAGAAAACTTGTACCAAAAAAAATAACAATCAAAAATGTCTTTATGTGGATGCCTTCTAAATTTGGGGTTTTTCTAATTATTATTTCAGGAAACTTAACAGTGGCGGCTAGGTGGTGAGTGGTTTTATTATATTTAAATATTTTATATATAATTTACACCATTATTGGATAATCTTTTAAATTCTTTCTAAACCTTCAGTCTGGTATTACATAGGATTCTGACATTAATTCTTGGTGATTATTCTGTTTCTAAGGATGTGTACACAACACTTAAGAAGATGAGGGTTTGTTGCCACGATGCTTTTCTGCATAGCACAAAAATATTTCTTAAATCACAGACCCATAGTCAGCATATTTGTTAGATGACACTAAAGACTGACTGAAATGGGAAATATCCCTGAAGGCAACTTATAGTTTGCAAAATTATTAATAGTGTTAAAAGACAATGATTTACAAAAAAATGGCAAGTTATATTTAGAATAACTTATCAGAGGCTATATCTATTTCAGAGTTTATGCATACATTTATGAGATATTAAAAATGACAGTGTACATGACATAAATTTTATATTATTTTCCATTTAGTTCAATATTAATAAACACATACAGAGTTCTGTAAGTTTGGAAATTGTCCTTATAGTAACCACTTGCTGTTTTCACAATTTAAATAGCCATCCATTTCCAATTCCTTTATGAAATCCTCCACAAACTGGGCTCTGTACCATATGGAGATGATTCAGACAGACATTGTTCTTAGGTCATCCAAAGCAGAGTACCCTGTCCAGTCTAGTCTGTAGGAGGCAAAACTTTACTTGAAATTTGACCAGGCTTCTGTAGATGATTTGAGTGCTTCTGCAATGTAGATACAGGACAGTCTCACAGAGAGTTGAAATTAGATTTGATCTTAAAGGAAGAAAAAGAACAAGCAAACAAGATGGGAAATGTCTCAGAAGTGGTAAAACTGATACTGGTGCCAAGTTTATAGCATCAGCACTAATCTGAATAAAAATCACATTAGCTTATTCTAGACTTAATATTTCATTACTTAAACTATATTTTAGGCTAGACTTCAGGTAACCTAAAGTACTTTCTGTGCATTGTTTTAAATGTCTCAATTACAAATTTAAATTATAAGACTCTAGATGTCACAATTCAGTTCTGTGAAATATAGATTCTTTATGTGCCTCCTAGCAAATTTAAGCCTAAATTATCAACAGCTAAAATCAAATTATTAGAATATCATCACAGGGCTGTTCTTTCTTTGTGTGAGCATAATAGGTAGAGTAGAATTTTAGTTTTCTTTTAAAACATTCTACTGCTTCCTCCTTCACTTCATAGTGAAGTCTCTGGTGCTCATCAGCTTGCATGCATTCCTTTGCATGACTCAACAAACTTGTGTGTTTATAGTAAACTCAGAAATATGTACACCAGACCTTGAAAATGAAAGCAAAATCGGTTTTCTTTGGAATTCATAGGGAGACATCTGGTGAGCAAATACAGCAGAAGACTCAGCACAGGATTATATGGTTGTGTTTTTCTCTGGTTAAGAGTACAAGGGGATTTTATATGAGAGGGAAAGGAACAAGCTTTTGTGGGGTTTGTGGGTTTTCAAGTTACCCTGCTAAGCTGACTGCTGTGTCCTAGAGTCATCCAAACCGTAAAACTACACAATGCTGCAAATATTTCTGAGATTAATTTGTGACTATTTAAATCCTAGGGTCTTATCCATAACATACAATTGTTTTCCTGATGCTATTATGCTGTTTACAGGTCTTTCATCCCTCTGTTCATGTAAGTATATATGATCAGAGAGATACAACACACACACACACACACACACACACACACACACACACAAGTGCCTTAAAATGTGTAATGTTAAAAAAAATAACAAAAGCATTACTAAAAGTGAAATAGAAAACTTTTTAGTCTTCTGGTTAGGAGGCCATTTATTCTTGTTTTGGGAGGCTGACTGGCCATTTCCACACCAGCCTCAGGAAGATGTTTTCATGCAAAATAAATTTAGTCGTTAAGTCATAAAGATTGACTTGTTTATTTATTTCCAGGTAATGTTACCAGACTTAGGTCACCACCTGTGCCATATTAAATAAGGTTCAGCTACTTGTCTTTATAAAGCCAATTAAAGGAGGCAAATTAGTAGTGAAAATTAAAAAAAGGAAGACTTATTCAATATGGCCAGACTGTTGTAATTTAGGAAAAGCAGCATTCAAGGAAAAGATGTCATGTGACAGGATTCAAGCAGAGGTTTTTTTCTTTTCTTTTTTTTTTTTTTTTTTTTTTTTTTGTATGTTTTGAAAGGGATAATAAAAAGGGGAAAGGGAAGAGGGGAAACCTGCCTTCAGAGATAGGAGCAATAGAAGAGAAGAAAAATGAAAGATGGGGGAGCAAAAAGCAAAAGCAGGAGAGCAGGAGAGAGAGGAAGAAAGAGAGAACAGGCAGAGGAAGAGAAAGAGAGAGAGAAGGATAGAAGGGAACCTTTAAAAAGGAACCTAGTGAATGTGCACAGGTACTGCTCTTAGTGGCTGCTGCTGAGGGTGT